ATATCATGGCCTGTTGGTGGTCGACTGGAACGTCAAGTCCGAATTCTGGGAAGTGGTAATTAAGCATTTATCTGAATGAGACAGCAATCCTCATGCAGAAGGTAGTGGAATATTAAGTGTGCTGTAGAAACAGCGGTAACCAAAACCAATTGGTAACCAAGACATGAAGGTTAGCAAACGTCATTGGATTTCCACAACATCATCGGAGCTGATTGATGAGAGAAGACTGAATCTAGCTGGCACAGACCAAAGTGAAGACGGAGAGCGACCTCAGCCTAAATTGACCAAGAGTCTTCGGTCAATCGTGAGCAGTGATCGGTGGGGAAAGCGAGAGACATGCAGAAAGCATCAGTGTTTGGTAATACTCAGTAAATAACTAGGCCTATCAGGAATCCCGTCAAGATGAAGATGATGGTTAGTCAAATAATAACCGAAAAGGAGGCGACGCTGATAACTTCTCACGACAGCCGGCTAAAATGTTCGGCAGAACACTGTGGACCACAATCCAATTGGCTCTCAGCTACTCTTAAGACGACCAGTATCCAGCCTGAACCTGAGTGGGGTGCAGATGTCGGTTGTCCGACTCTCTCTGAAGTTGAAAATGCAAGACCTAGCATGAAACAATGTAAAGCAGCTTGATCTGACGGTTTGCCACCTAACGTTCTCAAGAATTGAGGTAGGAAATCTTGAATTAAGGTGACGGAGGCACTAAATAATTTATGAGAATCAGAGGTAGTGCTATCACACTGGTCTACTTCACTGATCACCACCCCACTCTATAAGAAGGGAGTGGAGTCTTCTTGTGACAAGCATACGGGAATTAGTTTGACTAATAATGTGCCAAAAATCCGAGACCCCATAGTTATCCCATGCTTAAATGGAACTCGAGAACAACAAACTAGAGAAAACTAGACAGGTTTCACGCCTAGAAGGCGTTTGTTCCCTCTGACAGTTTCTGGAACATAAGAATATCTACTGGTGGCCGACACTTGTCGGATTTCTGGATCTGAAGGCAACATTCAACTCTCTCGACCGTGGGGTGTTGTGGTAGTGTCTGACTGTGAAGGGAGTACCAAGATAGGAAATGACGCCTACAGAGGATTGCCTTCGGAATTGACGACAAGTAGTGGTGTCCATAACGGGTGCGAATGAAACTTCATTACAAAAGTACAAATGGAAGTAACCGTAAGTATGTCTGACTTAATATGAATTTAGCAACTCCATGGAGGTCAAATGGTTGACTTGAAAGAAGGTGCAGATGATATTGTTCTGCTAGACGAAGATGCTGACGCAATGCAGGGTCTTCTGAACGCGTTTAGCAGAAACCTGAGTATGTGTGACATGCCTTTCGCTGGCATTTGTCAAACGTTAGATGATGCTCCTGGACTGACCTGGAACTACTCTTATTTTAGGTATGGAAAGACACCTATGATCAAAACCCTGTAACCGCCTCATGTCTGCTTTTAACGACGAAGTCTCACAGGCGTACAACAGAACAGAACGGACTGCTGGGCAGTGTACTCATCCTTTCATTGAATGTCAGATATCTCACCATTAGCGGCCAGAGATGATGTACATCGCCAAATGCCAAACCGGCCTTCTTTATCCAAGCTGAGATTTCGTTCGAGCTGATGCAACTTTCCAAGTATGTGAAGTGGTTGATACATTCCACCACTCCACCTCCCATCCTTAAAATAAGAGTAGTTCCAGTTCAGTCCAGGAGCATCATCTAACGTTTGAAAAATGCCAGCGAAACGCATGCCGAACATACTCAGATTTTCGCTAAACGCGTTCAGAAGACCCTGCATTGCGTCAGCGTCTTCACCTAGCACAGTAATATTGTCTGCATACTCCAAGTCAACCAGATGGTTTTCAGGGGTCGGTCGGTCCTTGTGATGAAGTACGTTTGTAACGACGTTGAATAGGAACGGTGACAGTGGGCATGCCTGGAAGACACCATTAGTTGTCGCTAATTCAAATGACAACTCTCCGTAAGCTCTTACACAGCGGCGTCAGTTCGAGTAGGGATCTATGACAGGCATTATATACTGCTTTCACAGTAAGATATTGACACAATACCTCATAGTCGATAGAGTTGAGTGCCGCCTTCAGGTCGGGAAATATTGCAGGTGTTGGCTGCCTGTAAGCATGCCTAAGTTTCATAGCTGTCGATGGGTGAAGATTTGATTGGTGCACACTAAGACTAGGTCTGAAACCTGTCTGGCTTTTTCAGAGGGAACAAACGCCTTCTAGGCGTGAAACCTGTCTAGTTTTCTCTAGTTTGTTGTTCTCGAGTTCCATTTAAGCATGGGATAACTATGGGGTCTCGGATTTTTGGCACATTATTAGTCAAACTAATTCCCGTATGCTTGTCACAAGAAGACTCCACTCCCTTCTTATAGAGTGGGGTGGTGATCAGTGAAGTAGACCAGTGTGATAGCACTATCTCTGATTCTCATAAATTATTTAGTGCCTCCATCACCTTAATTCAAGATTTCCTATCTCCATCTTCGAAAACTCAGGCTGTGAAAGGATAGAACGTATCAACTACTTCGCCTAATTGCGGAGTTGCATCAAGCGGAAAGGACTGGTTGTTGATGTAATATTTCTCAACTCAGAGATAGAACGCTGGTTTTGCATTTCCCAACTTGTGTCATCTGTGGCACCGATGAGATATTCGACTATCTATTAAGTGATGAGTACGCTGCGCTGCAGTTTATTCTGTCGTGTTATATGGCTATGAGACATGACGTTTAAAAGCAGACGGCATGAATCGATTACAGGGTTTTGATCATAGGTGTCTTTGTAGCATTGTTCACGTTTGGTGGAATCACCGTGTGAGGAATGTTGAGAACAGATGAAGGGTACTACGCAAGGCAGGTAAGATGACTGACGAGGTTGTGGACTTTTATCGGCTAAGGTAGTTGAACATGTGTTGCTCACGCTTAGCCACTGCTGATGTGGCAAGCCAGAATAAGCTAGATTAGTTTGAAAGACGATCTAGTTCATGAAGCCCTTGACTGTTGGTCGGAGCTATGTGAGATGTAGACTATCCGGCCAGGGTCTCGGAGACAACAAGAATCAATGGTTGACAACTCTTGTGTATGTGGCTGAAAAGCGACAAGAATGAAGCAGATGTATTCAATGTTTGACGTTTTCAAAACACCTTTCTCCAAACTTTTTATCCTCTCACATAACTTCGTTTGCCTTGATATTATCCTTTTTCAACCCACCTGTTCTTTGTATCCTACTGTGAATTGTCGCAATTTGAGCCGATGCATTTGTGTGCGAGGTTCTACTTTGGTTTTTGTTTGCTTGTCTGTCAAACTCCTAGGAAATATCGAATATCAACTTATTTTAAGTGGTAGTAAAGCCATTCAAGCCTTAGGCGAAGAGCATGGTTCATTATTTCTAGCGTTTTAGTTTCAAGTCAGGGTTCGAGTCCCATTGCAGTTACTTCAACCTGGATAACAGAGTAGCCCTCACATCAAACCTGGTTCATAGCTTAGCTAATATGTCTGTATGCGGTATTTGATTTGCACCAACCAATCCAACGGTCAGTAATGTATACAACTGAGTAAATCACGTAGGCATATCGTTTAGTGTAAATAAATATCGAGGTAATAACAACAATAATTTCTGTAAGTTAATAAGGAATATTGAAATAAGAAGGCATTCGTTAAAACTGATATCCTTTTAAGGGTGATAGCTAGTTACCAAAATGAGTACTAACTAACTTTTCCTAGGTAGGAACTCGAAATAAAAGAACGGACGGAGTGCAGTGGATTTAATGTAGATGAATTTGTACCACGCCCGTTAACTTGTAATCTTTTAACAGGTTTACACTTGTTTCGTTTTGAATACTTACAGATATAAGGTGATGAAAATGTAGAGCAGCTAATGTAAACAAAGGCTGCCTAATATATAAGAAGATGGAAGTATATGATGAACTTTCTAAAAATGTTACTCAGGGATCTACCAAATATAAATATTTAGTCAATAGTTGCTACTTGTGTCCTGGAAAAATTTGAGCACTGAATTTGATGTTCTGAAGATGCTAGCGTTATGTTAAAACCTATTTTTAAAGTAATTTATTTGGTAGTGGCTGGTAGTGGGATACAGGACATACGTTTCGTTTTATTTAGGACTCATTAGCTGGGTATACCTGCACCCAAGGATCAACAAACAATAGTTATTTTGAAAGGGACCTATTAACCCACAGCTTTATACCTTCCAATGTAAAAAAGGTAGAAATATGCAGGGATCACTGTAACTGAGCTAAAGAGCATACAAAAGATTGTCGTAATTGAGAACCTAATCAACAGATGCAATAAAAGCTTTTGAAATATAACAGATTTCATGTTTACCAATGTAGACACTTCACTAGTTCTATAAAGTTTGTGTTTTGGTTAATGAATACTCAAGACACCTTACCACTGTAATTTTAACATAGAGAGTACTCATTTTGATCTTTTTTACCCATAGTTACTACCTTTAGAAAAATGGTCGCAAAGCAAACAACTAATTTTTTCATAGTTGACGATAGTTGAGCAAAGTAAATACTATTGTGAATCAGTTATACCCTCCGTAAAAACCAACATAACCGTTCTTTTGGACCTGAGAATAGAAATGCCACCTTGTGTAATAGTACGCATATACGTAAACTGCAGTGAATCGAGTAAAAATGAACAGATAAATCCAGTTCATCATGTTTTACAGAAGCAGATAGTTTTGAATCATAGAAAATTAGATGGGTTGAGGAATTTCATATTTGAATGGAATAGATAAATATCCTATATACTTTTATTTCCTGTGGCTGAGATATATATAGATAGAAAGAAACTTTAAAAATCTTAGAAACTAGAGTTAAGTACAGGAAACGTTGCATAATGCATGCTTGTCCTTTCCATTATTTACTTCCTGATAACTGGCTGGCGTAGTATGTTCAAATTTCAATGATAAATAACAACTAAACACGGAACGGTAAAAGTTGTATTTACCAGAGTTATATGGTGTATTGGTTGTAATGGAAAGATCTGGACCTACTGGCATAGACATGCTTTGACCAGGCATAGGGTATACGCTTGGATTTGAGGTCTGCGTAAAAGGACTGGCAAAATTGGGCAGTTGAGGCATGGGCATAGAAGGGACAGGAGGTACAGAACTGGGTATTTGCCATCCAGTGCCAAGTTGAGGTAAATACAAATTTGAACCTTGGCCGTTAGTTGTAACAGGGATCGGTGGTTGTGGCAAGTTACCTATAATCATAAAAGTCAAAAAGACACCCATTTAAGCAAAATAATTGAAGTTCAGTGTCAATAAGTGATACATTAAAGCATAACCTACGGGAAATTCACAGAGTAATAACGTGAAGTAGTGATTTTGTTACTGCTGCGAACGAAGTTATTACTTACCTGGATAAGGTACTGAACAAGAAATGGGGGTTTAGTTGAGGGTTTGCACTTTGCCGTTTGGACAGAGGAGTAGACTTGGAAAATACTGGGGACTTCTCCCCGAATACAATTTGAAGCACTGATATTAACCCAATAAGATCTGTATCCGGCTGTTAGTTGGGAATAAAATAAAAATGGAAAACCTAGTAATGAGTGAAACAGTTAAGGTGGACTTGCATAATCTGTTAAATCAGTTAGATCAAATAAATATAAAAACTGTTGATTGACTCGGTAAATAGGTCAGGTTAAAAAGTCTGGTGCATAAATTGATAATTTACTTCACCTGTAGCAGCAATTAAATGCATCTACAAAAAAACCACTTCTAGTTTTAACACAGGGTGAATTGAACTATTACTATCGATGCATTGAAACCTAAGCGCAAAAAATAATTGTTATCAAGAGAACAGAAAAAAGCTAACGGACTTTTTGAGATATACTTGTAAAATGTTCGAGTTATCAGCTGACTTCAGTCGCAGATGCGTCGGGAACTGGGAGGCACTAGACAGACATTTTTCCTAGTCGGTAGTCGCCGGTGCGCCTGTTCCAGAACTTGTCGAATGGTGAAAATGTGACCAATGAACCCTCGCGTTCGAGTCACCTGGTTTGCCTAAGTTTGTTGTTCATAAGCTCCTGTTAGGCGTCGCATAACTATAAACACTAGAATTTTGCATTCGATGTTAGTCATACTGATTCCCGCATGGTTTTCACAAAATTTCTTGCCTACTTTATCAACTGGAATTACGAGTGACTTAGTCTGACGGGACAACCTCTGATTCTCAGACACTGCCAGGTACATCCATTACTCTACTAAGTGAATTCCTCCTCCCCTCCCCCGATTCTTAGAAACTTCAGGTGGCGAACCAACAAGTCCAGGCGCTTTACATTGTTTCAGGTTTGACACAGCCTTCTCAACTTCAAGGGCAACTGGAGAACTGCCCGTTCTGGGGCTTCATCAGCATCCCATCCTTTTCGATGATGATTTCAATAATCATCGTTTTCTTCTTGCCGATAACCCTAATAAGCTTAAATAGTTGCCTGATATTACCCGGAGCTTATACATTTGCCACCTCTGATTTCACTACTTACCGCTGGTCGCAACCATTGTAAACACTCTTAATAAACTTACGTTTGAGCTGCTTTGGCTCCTCATTGTGATTAGAGCCTGCTGGAATGAGTCTTCTGACATCAATGAGTTCGGATGACATTGGTAAAATCGATTGACGTTTGCTAGTCTTTGGATTCAGGTCACCAATTGTCGTTACCGAAGTTTTTACACCAGACTGGATATCACGTCTTTGGAGGATAAGGATTGCTGTCATGTTCAGAGAAAAGCTTGCCTAAAAGAAACACTTTGTGTAGTGATGGCACACACCCAACTTCCAACATTATTCCAACCAAAAGTGGGGTTTAACAGAGCTGTACGATTTTATAATTCGTCTTTGAGTGCGCTAAAGCTGACATCTTAGAGATGGAGGAATTGTGTAGAAGTACCGTAAGACTGCTGTCACATGAAAGGCTTTACGATGTAGAATATGCGGAAGATATCGTCTCACTGTGCGACAACATATCATATTCTCAGACCACAGTCAGTCAGTTGGTGAACAGTAATTGTTAGCATAGAATGTGCAAGACACTTTCAAAGTGCAAAGCACCCCAACAAGATTGATGGGAGGTACAACAGGCATTGAGTCTTCCGAATTTGCAAAAGATTTTGCGTAAGCGGATATTTGCTTGAGTGCTGGTGATCTCGAACGATAGCAGGTATTTCGAATCTGCGGTCGGCCTTGCATATCGCAACGATACGAGTTTTCCCGAAGGGGGGAAACGCTTGTTTCCTCGAAACCCAACAAGATCACAAACGTCTTTTCAATACTGGTAGGATGAAAATAGTTGTGGAGGGGGTTAGAATGAGGTTTAAAAACTGCACATTTCCCTTTGACTCACGCCGTAAAAATGCCAGCAACTTGGTTTACAATCGGAGTCGAAACTAACAAACTTAAATCTCCACCCTTTAAAAAAGGCCATATGTGATCGGCTTCAAGTAGATATCTCTTGGATTTCGCAGTCACACACTGAAACTTCTTTTTTCAAGTGCCCAAAGAAGAAATAGCCTTTCATAGTATGGGAAACCGGGAAGCGTCAGCCGCCATCACAACTCTAACAGCACTCAAATTCCCTCAAATCACTATCCACTACCTTACATATCAACTTTGAATCTTCCTCCTTGTCTCCATCAATAATCAATCTTTAATTCCTTCCAGTTCTGGAATTCTCGGTAAGGATTTGAGTTGACGGAACATCACTGGTCTTCCGAAATTGCTCTCCAATCGACACATTAGGGCTTTTAATGTCCACACCCTATGTCAACTCATTCAACAAGCTTCGCTAACAAAAACTCCAGCACCTCGCACCATGAATATGCGCTGTATTTATGAGACATGCACACATGATCCAAGTGTGGTTATTCACTTAACCTAACACAATGTGGTGAATCCACAAAACTAACTCTGAGGGCTTCTGAAGATTCCATGACTAGTTCTCGTAGTCTTATAGGTGTAGGGATATAACAGTCCTATGGCAGGAAACCCACTGCTCGACTGATTCTAAGTTGACAGTTGCCTTTGTGCTGTTCAAGTGGACCGTATAGTGAGGAATGAAAACAGTAGTGAAACGCCGTTCTCTTTGTAATCCTTACCAATTCAACCGGTGACTGTAGTTCACATTACGTGAAGGATGAGTTCTATTGAAGACAATGTAGCCCTCTACTGACGTGGTTCTCGTTGCAGGTGACCTCACTGCACAAGTGGGTAGACTAGGTTAGGCAGAAAGGCTGAAAGAACAGACAATGGTGATCGTCTGCTACAAACATGCTAAGACAACCAACTGTTTCCGACTAGCGTTAAAGTCATACATGAGGAGGAACACTGCTTGATGTGGCGTCTACCCACATGAACTCAGTGGTGGACACAGATAGACCATACTGCTACCAGTTATCGCTGGAGAGGGTCGGTCGAAAGTTGTCACCTTATCTGCAGCACGTGTTCGGATAGCGTTAGTTTGAGCACGGGAACGTCTGCACCTACGTGAATGTAGGTAAAACTACAGCTGCCGGAGCACTTCAAGTGCAGCTCAATGGTGAAAATACTAAGGCTGCTTTCGACTAGCAACTGGTCAGATAATTATCGTAACAGGAAGCACCACTCATCCAGAAGCTCATTGGCGTTTCTAGTCTGCTGTGAAAGCAGCGTTACATTACAGCCAACTAACACTGCAACTGAATATCAGAAAACAGAAAGTATTAGTGGATGTAATGCCCAGAACGAGCCGCATTTCTCGATCTGAAGGCAACATTCGACTACATCGATCGACAGGTCTTCTGGTAGTATCTCTCACTGCAAGGGTAGTCAAGTACGCACATCACTTTTTTAAAGGCTCTGTTCTCGAACACCCATGGATGTGTTGAAGTCAGCGGTGAGTTATAAAGTCAGTTGCGTACATCAAGTGGTATCAATCAAGGATGTCCACTCGTTTTATTCTTTTTAAATTGTCATACACGTAGTAATGGATGTCTTCCTCTCTTCGTGTGATTCAATCGCAATCGAGCTCATAGCATTAAACTGCGTAACAGACCAAGAGTATGCAGATAACACAGTCCTGTCAGGTGAAAATGATGACAAGATGCGGTCCTCTGGATACACTGAGTGGCGATTTGAGAATGTTTTGGATTTGGGAGTTTCTCGCCACCCGAATGAGAACTGCTGTTGTGAGACTGGTCTTTAATGGTTCCCTAACTGACAATAGGGAGTGAAACAGTTGGCCGAGTTAACCACTTCACGTATTTGGGACGTCAGATTATTCCTGGTACGTCACTGATAGACGAAATCTCTGCACGGATACAAGAGGCTCGTTTACGTTTCACTAAATTACGCCAATTAAAGCGTCACTATGATATCCGATTCTACACTAAGCGTCAAGTGTACGGTGCTGCTGTTCTCCCTGTTTTATTGTATAGGTGTGAAACATCGCTGTTAAATATAGGGGATATGAGGCAGCTTTGGAGGTTCGACTGCTATCGCCTTTGTAGAATAGACCATGTGTTATGTTGTCAATACGTCGGTAACGCAGAAGTTGGATAGAGTTGTAGGGAGAAGAGAAAATTCAGTTGATGAGGTTGCGAACCTTTATCGACTCAAGTGGCTGAAACATGTTACGCATGCGTAGTCGCCGTTTGCCTCATCGTGCTATGTTAGCTTCGGTGGGTTTAGGTTTTAAAAAAGGTTAAGGACTAGAGGAATAAGGACTAAAATATGGTATCATTGCATGAAGTCTTCGACTGGTCTCAACCGTGTTGGGAAATGTAAACTTTACGGGTCGTGTGAAGACAGGAATAGGTGGTTGGAGACTAATTACATACCTGAGTCGACTTGTAGCATACATGCATCAAGACATTATCTTTGTTTTAATCGTCAAACTAGATTTCAGTATTCTTTCATTCTTCCTAATCCTCTCGACTTTATTTCTGTCTTACAACTTGGTGGATTCTCGTCTGAGGTTACAACTTGGACCGTCACGCAGTACTGCCAAGTGTCCTTTTCGTTTTGTCTATTTTTGTTTCAACTACGAAAAACCAGAGATACAACTGGCAGCAACATTTCACACAATAAAGACACTAACCAACAACAGCCAATATCTAGGGTGACATTTACAATTACATTCTAAAAAGGTGAGTATCTGCTTTACCTAGAATTATACTGTTTTTCAGTCACCACAAATATACCTTGGAGTGCTAAGTGAGGTAGTGCTATGCTACTTCCTAACCGTAAGTTATCCTCAATCACATTATCGAATGGTGCAATAACTTTTGTACAAAACCTTAGACGGTTTTTACAAGATACGTCCAACTTTATGTAGTATAAGTTCTTACCCGATGTCCTATTACAAAGCACAACCTATTAATAAAATGTCTAACAGACATAGATGCTTCCGTCTTATTTAGTGAGGCAAAAACACTGTCGGTTACTTACGACTGTAGTCGGTTCTACTAACACTGTAGTACATCAAGATTACAGACAGCGTCTATACACTACACACCTTGACATGTACAGTATTTTGACGTGAGTCGTAAATATAAATGAATACAAAATGGCAGAAATTCCGAAATAACATGCACACGGCTTGAAATGAATGCGGAGGAACACTCACATGCTTCCAGTCTGTCATATAAGGCAATTGTACAAGGCCAGCACTATCAACGAAATCACTTGGTTTTATCTGCATTGTATTCGTAGGCCTCACATACACCATAGGTGACTTATGTGGATAAACTTCAAACAGAAATATGGCAATCGGAATGTTATATGTAGATCCCATGTAACGGACTGGAATAGTACCATCTAAGCTCACAAGCTTCTTGGAAGTCCCATCATTCTGGACTGGAAACTAAATTAGCTAGAATTCTGACTTACTGAAATCCTCAAATTTAGGGCGTAATTCTTTGTAAGCCTCCAAAGCGGAAGTGACATCTCTTCTAACAATTTGTGGGTTTGTATACTGGTTTGAAATGTTTAAGTGATGCTTATTTAGACCTAAAAGACTTACTTTTGCCAGGCTTTTAGCGAAGAAACGATCATAGTAAGACATTGGACAACAAACTGAATTTACCACACTTGTGTAGGTCGGGCTGCTCAAGGTAACCTGTAACAAACTTCAAACTACAAACTTCATATTATAAAATCAGTGAACAATAGTTCCTTGAGTTCTCCATCTGTCTTAACGAAGTACGTTCTTGGTTTGGAATGGTTACAGTTGTCCTCTTCGTTCCGATAAACCTAGGACAATAAAGACAATCCAAAATCCAATATCTGTTTAACGAGCTTGTGTAAACCAATTGATTTCTTCGCGCTCGCTTCCTGGTCTTGCGAAACGGTTTCAGGTTTTCGGCGGATTCCGATGCAGCAGCTCCAGCTACGCGTCTGCTATAGCTCTGGTGTACAGAATAGGAGGTTAAGTGTTCGTTAGTTCCCCTTGGACTGCGGTGCCATTGGCTTCTTCAGATGTCGAGTTGCCAGACAGTTGTTCGGACTGGTCGTTAGAAAGAGTTATGGATAGACAAGAGAAAACCTAAAAAGGAAACTTTACGAATAAAATGCAATTGAAAGTGAACTGATGGAGTGATTTACTTACACAGGTGACGAGGGGTGCAAAGATATGAAGAACTTAGGTAGCTAAGGCTACCTCATAGCAAAAGGAAGAGATGAAAACGGCCTAAATGGTTACGGTAGAAAAAAAACTGGTTGTAGGGGTAGGTAGTTGGAATGGCGCAACATCAGTTGATTCCTTGTTTAGTTCGTGTTCCCGCTATATGTTGGTAGACCGTGGGTTTCTGCGTGACTGCCTAGCATTTCCAGCGCCCGCAGCCATGTAGCCGGGAAGACGTGTGAACTCATATGAGATTTCGAACCTTGGAGAGCAGCTGCACGTCCACCAGTTACATCCGAAGTGCTCCTTCTAGCGCCTAACAATCTCTGGATGATGGAAAAGTCATTTAATCACAAGCTCTAACCAAGCATCATCAAGCTGTCGAATGGTTCTTAGCCATCACCATTAGAGGGGTACCAAGAAAAGTTGACAACCAGTGACATCTGGCTGGTGATTCAGTGTCGCTTGGCGCGGAATCGGTGCCTGAGGGATAACTGACAGCCAACACGCACGTCGTAACCACGACTTCACCCGGTATGGGCGTATTTTCTTGGGTCTGACTAGACGAAACGTACAGTCGGATGCCTCTGACATCAGAAGATACATCGAAAACAACCATCATTACACCTATAAGACGGTTCGAATTTTCGCTCACACCTTTTGGTTCTTGAAATGCAGTACAAACGCTCCCATTCTTCACGAATAATGTCTTTTTTGGTTTTGTTTCGTTTCACGTTTGCACTGGTGACCCTGTTATTGCGAGTTTGCATCAGGAAATTCTTATCAGACACTTGAACGTTGTGTTCAATAGACTAGAAAAGAGTGGTATCCCAGTTAACAGGCAGAAATATCAAGTAGCATCCAAATCGCTCCACTTCCTTGGGCGTACTCAAAAACAAATGGCATATGCCTATTCGCAGATAAAGCGGCCACTAAGCTACACTATCTGAAACTAACCGATGCAAAGCGGCTTCGTACATTTAGCGGCCCTGTAGGTTATTACTGGAGGTTCATTCCTAACTGTGCTTCTTTTATGGGACCCCCAAAAGATCTCCCCCACGTGAATATATAGTGTGTGAATCCGGATACCGTGAGCAAACTGTCCCTATTAAAGGGCGGGGGAGGCACCGAAAACAATCGTTATCTTGCAACATGGCCTCACTACTCCCCGGAGTGTTGCTGTCTATCCATCTGGCCCAGGAACAGGAGTAATCTTGCAACAGCTGACTGAAAAATTAAAGGCCGCCAGTAGCTGTTCATTCAAGGCGGCTGCAAGAAGCGAAAATAGGGCGTGGTGTGTTTGGTGAGGGGCCGCCGGCTACCTGTTGCGCCGTGCGCCAATCTTCGCATTCTGATCCAGGTCGTGAGTTCTTTGTTTACACGGACTACAAACCGCTAACCTTCTCTTTCTGCACATTTAGAGCAGACAAGTCCATAGCTGAGCATTTTCTCTAAAGTCTTCGACAATCCCCATTGAAGGCGGTAACGTTGTTGGGCCGGCTCGCCATCAGAAAAAAATCTCGAAATAAACCATGAGATGCCGTCCACATCTCTGACGTCAAAACTGCGCTCCGTAGAGTCTGGTAGGTACACGACCTTAGGCTTCATTTATACCAGCCAACCACTCCCGAAAACATGTTGATTTCACATCTTCATAATGTTTCACAAACCATGTCATCCAGGTACAGAAATCACCATCAGGCTTGCCACAAGCCTGGGATGGACAGAGACGCCAAAGAATTGACTCGATCATGAGTAGTTCGTCGAAAGTATGGGACCACCGAGCACATGAAAGCCTTGTAGGCTCTTTTCTGATACCAGGTGCATGTTTCGGTCACTTCCACATGGATATTGTAGGACCCCGACCACAATCTAACGGATGCAATTATCTGTTCACCTGAGTGCATAGTTTTGCAGGATGGTTAGGGATAGTACTCATTAAGAATCTTACTTCTGAAGCCATAGCATGTTTTTGTTGGAAGTTAGATGGCCAGCCTCGGATGTCCATCTTTCATAGCTAACGACATGGGCTCCAATTTCGGTGTGCACCATCTCACGATTTGACTTCACTTCTAGTTTGCACTTGGTTCGCGACGGAAACCTTTTGACCAAGAGTGGATGGTGCGGTAGAGCATTTTCACAGAAGTCTGAAAGTTACACTTTCGGCTGCTAAAACATCTCAGCGGAAGAAAGTACTTCCTGTGGTCTCTGTGGATATCCGGAACGCGCAAAAAGCTGTTGCTAGATGCACCTCCACAATGCTCCCCCATAGAATTACTCTTTGACCACTAGATGAGTTCGCTTCATCTTAAGTTTTCAAAATCGTTATTGAAGTAACATCATACATGACTTGGCATAAAAACCTAACGTCTTCAGCTGGATTTTTCCCCGCTCGATTTCGAACAGCTCATGTCTTCTTCTGCTCCGTTTTACGAAACTGCAGTCACGGGTTTGCTCAATGAGACGTCATTTGCTGACTGAATGAACCGCTTCAATGATGGGCCATTAACAACCATCAAGTGACACGAAAAAAGTGTCGCGGAAACAGCTTCAAACTACCGACTTTAATTGCCTTAATAGTCTGGAGCCAGTTAAAAACGAAAGGAAGTTTGTGAACGATCCCGATAAGTTTGCGTTTATCTACTCCCCCGTCTATCTTTTGAAAATTCATCTTCAGGCTCTATGGCAGGGCTCCTAGTCCTGGAGTGTTGTATAGAAGATCAGTAGGAATCACATTCAAGAGCAATTCCTAAACTGGATCAGTCGGATTGTCAATCTAGTCCCCAGACTGCCGTAGGAATTTTAACACTAAGCCGGTTTGTTTCGACCGTCGTCGTCATTTCACCGATCCATAAACCAGTTCAGATCGGTTGTCGACTTAGGATCACCTACAACGACTGGAACCACTTGAAGAGGATAGTGATATTGGAATACATTGTCCTACTAAAGGAGAGGGTATCGTCTTGGTAGATGGTAAGCGACATAGCGACAGACCCTGATGATTCTATCCGATCCAGCCAAGTTTGTGAATCTTGAAGAGAAGACTAACAGGGTACACGGAATTGAGATAACTCACAAGTGCCTCCAAAAACAATAGGGGTAACTAAATGATTGTTTGGGAACTGTCCTGGTGCGAACTTGACAGACGCAGAGGCTGGTCACTAATTATTCGAACTTGTTATATACCCACGAATGCAAGACTAAGGAAGAAAACAATAGCGTAGTCGGATGGAATAGTACATTCGGAAGGCCGTGCCGAGATAGAGATGTGTTCCAGCTGACTGGCTAGAGGGTCGATTGCGAGCGGTGCAACGTACCACCACAGTATGCCAAATGGCCAGGATGCTTGACTGGGTGCCTTCAGCTTAGCTAGTCCAGTTAAACTATCAAAGTCAGCATCAATGTTGAATCTGGTCAAACCCCGGGTCATCGATTTTGGGGAAGTGTGTGACGCTACAGTTACTTCTGGTTTTTGTCAGCGTATCCTACCGGTTGGTGTCGTGACTTCATGACTAAGTGGGCTAACACGAACACACCGAGCAGAATTCCCTCTTCATGTGGCCCTGGATGTGGCTGGTCATCGTTAACACGAAATCGCTAGGTAGCTAGCCGAAATGCTGGAACCTGCCAAAGGCAAAAGTGTATAGTTTTCTTATCCGTGATTCATTCCAGTTTTTGAGGGCGGTAAAGAAGTAAATTCTTCAGGTGAGATGGAGTTTTCACTGGATGCTCCTTCAATGTTCAGTGTGCCAGCCGTGGAAACTGTTGTGTATACGTGCGAATACGTTGCTGCATGTAACTTAGACATAGGACTGGTGACTACCTGTTTGAAACAGCTATTTCGAGGTAAAATTTCAATTTGGTTCCAGTGAGTAAATCAGTGGACGGAAAGATGAAGCTGGGATGGGGTCACCACCGGGACCGTCGTTAGCAAATATCTTCATGTCTAAACACGAGAACACTAAACATAGTCAAAGTATTGGTCCAATAAGTTCCCGCACATTTGGAGTAGGCTTCCAGAAGAAGCCCGTACGGCGAGCTCGTTAACACTTTTCCGCTCTTCACTTGATGGGCTACTAATAAACGATGAGTCTATCGTTCAATTAGCCACCATCTGCTCATCCTATGCTGATGAGGACGTGCTTGGTCCCCCAAATGTATCAAACAGTCATTAAAGTCTCCGACTTCCTCTTACACTGATGGGTTGACGACTGCTGACAAGTGTGTGAGTACTGGTCCCCCTCCTCACCTTGATGAACTTAATGTATCCCATTCCCTTCTCAAGGAGACTACGATACACCCCAGATATAGAAGTCTTAGGAATGTTGTCATAGAAAAAGTGCGTTTTTAATCACACATATGAATACACGAAAATGTACATAAAGTTCGAATAAAAAGTGATGATAATAAATATTTTATCTTCACGTTAGTAGTTTAATATG